CTTCTCCTTTTGCCTTCAATCTTTCCCAGCATCAGGGTCTTTTCCAAAGAGTCCTCTCTTCGCATTAGGTGACCAAAGTATCTGAGCTTGAGCTGGAGGAGATGGGCGGCATATAAATTTAATAATAATAAAAATAAATAAATCACCTTCACTACCCCTGACATGAAACAGATTTAAAAAGAACAGAAGCCCCACTTCTAGGAAAAGTAGCACAAGAAGTAGCTGCTATTTTTTTTATTATTATTATTTTGTAACTTATCCAAAGTAATCATTTTTTATTCAGGATAAATCTTATAATATAACATCACTGGGGAGAAAAGAACTTGACAATCAGTTGTAGTGTAAGGGCATTGTAAACAATAAATGTCTTATTTTGTTCAATGTTCAGATTCAATTAATTCAGAGTATAAATGCATTCTCTTTCAGGACTGATCTCTTTCTTCTGAAGAAACTGTTGTAGCTATGTTGTCAAGAGCCCCAGCTTCTGCATAAAGAAAGAAAAAGTAAAAGCGTGTCTGCATACAAGATAGGGAAAAAGGCACTCTGTAACAGTGACTGCTCATTTACAAAATAATATTGATGTTAGTCAAAACTTTTGCACAGGTTCTCAAAAAAATCAAGACATCCCTAAGCTATTAATTTAATCCTGAGAAATCAATTGTTGCAACAGGGAAGCACTTATTGCAACCTCAGGCCACTGAAGAGCTTTGATGCATCTAAAGTAACACCAGTGCCTTACTAGAAAATACCTTCTAAAAATTGGCTGGCTTTGACTCAAAGATTATTGCTTCATTGACAACAGTGCTTTTATCAGACTTGCAATTACAGCCTTAGCCTTTCATCTTCCTGTTATTTTTTCTTCTTACAACTAGTTTTCTACCTTATACACAGCACACATTTTAGAAAAAAAGATTATATGGCCTAAAAACCTGGAAGTAATTTTGGAATTCATAAATACTTCCCCCCCAAAACATATTTCAACATAATGCCCCTAAAATAATTATAAAGTTATTTATCATTGAAAAGCTGTAATTCAATATCCTCTCTGTTTGATATTGCATTTTCCCTTTCATTTTTACACCCAAATATCTCAAAAACCCATTAAAACTGAAGGGATGCTTACTAATGTCAGAGTTAAAATGCCAACAGCATTTTATAATCAGTATGTATTGATATTAACAAATTATCAGTATTAATATTGACAAAATTCTTTTTATTCTGGACCCTCAAAAGAGTCCCAAGTTTCCATGCCTGAAATCTAGTAGAATACAAAACAAAATGTGGAGAATAAAGACAGAGGGAAAACAGCACACAAAAGTTTAAAAAGGGAGAGAATTCTTGCAGAAAAATAATAAACTACATGCTAAAAGGAAATAGTGAGGAAGCCAACCTGATCATTCTTGGGAGAATCAGATTCCAGGATCAGAGACTCTTGTTCAAAAACCTTTATTCTGCACCCCAGTCAATCTTACCCATGGCCTAATTTTGGGCAACTGAGAGCTTGGCAGTAACCAGCCAAGGAGGATTTGTCCAGCTAAGGAAGAGGAACATCTGGCATATGTCATAGCATTTTGATTGGGGCACCAACCCAAGTTGAGCAAAGACACTCCAAATCCCAGAGGCCGCCAGATTAGCTTTTCTAAATCAGAAACTCCGTTCTTGAGGATGAACACGACCCTATACAACATAAGCTAAGAGCTAATCCTGGACTGGCTTTCCTATTGACTAGTGAACCACTGCATGGTTTCTCTGTTTAATAGTATACTGACTATTAGCTGGAATGGGAAGTTGGTACATGTCACTATATGGACAATGAACTGTTATTTTCTTCTCAGGGGCCCTCATGCCTAGACAACTTGAGCTCTGAGCAACAGCAATTTGTACATGCAATTTTGTATGTCCCTATTTTAAAGTAGTAGCACAACTATTCACTTTACATGGGGAAAACTCTACTAACCTTTAAGATGTAAATAGGCCAAGAATTCAATTATTGTACGAATAATATTGTTATACGTCAGCAGTCTTGTAGAAGCATCTGGAAAAAAATCAAGTATTATTGATTCCATGACAGAATGAAGGTGAGAAGACTAGACAAAAGTAGTCGTTAAGGGTTAACTATGAACAATGTTCTAATAACTTGAAGCAAATATAGGGGTCACTTCTTGGAAATGAAAGTTGATGAATGTAAAACAAACTGTTTGGGACTATCCACTGGAATATAGAATCTTTAATAGAAAGATTAAAGATTTGGTTAGCTTTCATTCTTTTAATATAATAATATTTCTCAAGTTATTAAATATCAAACATGTCAAAATATCCATATGTTCTTCTTAAATGTAAATTGTTCTTCTGGGGTGGAAATATTTGTATCTTTGTTTTATGTGTCTATACTTTGTTGATTATACAGTCTTTCGCTGCCTGAAAAATGCATTGCATAGACAATGGAGGGTGAATTCCCTATCCACACTCTAGGAATTTTTCCCAAGCAGATTTGGAGGGCATTCAAGATGATCAGGGGAGGGGGAAAGGAAGGACCAAAGGGAGACTCACTGTGCAAGTGAGTCTATTCTCACAACAACTGAATGATAATCATATTAACTGTATTTAATTTAATTTTAATGTTTAATATTTAATTTTAATAAAATACAGTGAAATCTAATTTGGATTTCATCCTACTCCCATCCACTACTGTTGGTGATACAGCTGTCCAGCTTAAACCTAGGCAGGAAACCAGGGCAGCCCTTCAACCAGATAAGATTGCGCATTACGATTTAGGAATTAAAAAGAAATCAGGAACAGCTTTTTAGATGTGATTGGAAATACATATGAGGAAAGTATTAGAAGAAGAAAAGTTACCTGCTTTTATATTTTCTTCGAGATGTATGTCACGTTTACCAGCTAAACCATGTTTGTCACTAAAAACTCTGTTTATTGCATCTGTAAATAAAACAAGAGGTGAGATCAGGTTTTATTACTTTAACAGTCACCAGCATATTGTGAGATATCCTCCCACCAGGTCAAAAGGTTCTCAACAAAAATATAACAGGTATTTTTTGATGGAATGGTGCACATTGAATGAGTGGGAAAAAAAGCATTTCACTTGAAGTGACACACCAACTGTAAACCAAAGTGTCTGACTTACAGCAACACTGGCATACAACACCAGCAAATTCAGCACAATGTCACACTGTGGGTGTAATCAATGCAGCTGTTGATACAATGAAGAGACAGGCAAGGTGTTGCCATCCAGGTGCTGTTGGACTACACTCCTAACATTTCTCATTTTGGTTAGAGCAGCTAGGAGTTGAAGTTCAGTGGCATCTGGAAGGTCACAGCTTGGTCAAATCTGGCATAATGCAAATGTCTTGACTCAGCCAAATATGGGACTTAGCCATTGTCACTGAGTTAAAGAAAAGCACCTCTGATACAATATCCACTTTATAGCCATTTATTTGTTCATTCTTGAATAGCCCTGGTTGAAAAAGGTGAACATATTTGGATGCACATAGTGTGCTGACTTGGGCTCAATATGTTTGCATGATAAAATGTAACATAGTGATTGCTTCCTTTGATTTTAAGAAACATAATTATTAAGATTGTTTATTTTTACAGTAAACTGCAATTAGTTTACACAAATAGCCTCCAAAAGCCATCTTACATTCCCCAGGTGGCTCTTCTCTCCCCCTTGCACTGGGCATTTCCTTGAGGAGCTGTTCAATACGACCTGAAACAGATGATGGCTATTACCTATCCTCAGAGAAAATTGAACCTGAAAAGTAGATTTCCTTTGTAAGGAATGGAGATTTGGCCATCTTTCATCCACTTTGCCACCGTTCATTTGAACCCAACACAACAGAATAAAATGTTCCAAGTGAAAGTATTTGAGTTCTGTTCTTAGACAATATATTGATCCTGCCTTACTTTTTGTAAGTAATCACCACCCAGCTACTGTTGTATGGCTTTAAAGTTATTCCTACAGTGTCCAGGCATAGTATTTTAATTAAAATATTGAGTAATCTCAGTGTGTCTAGCGTACACAACAGGCAGCAAAGGACATCTTTAGCTGGTTTGCTCTCAAATATTTTTAATTAATTCATTTATCACATACTTGAATACCACCCCCCAAATTAGCTCCAATTGAGCCCGCTGCTGATTAGCAAAGGATACATACTGGGATAGAAACATAGAATTGGAAATGGCTGTTTAGGCTATAAAGTCCAAGCCCCTGCTCAGCGTAGGAATTAACTAAAAGTATCCCCAACAGAAGGCCATCCAGCTTCTTCTTGAACATATTCAGTGACAGACATTCACAATCTCCCAAGAAGTGTTTCCACTGGCAAACTGCTGTGTTAAAGTCTTTCCTAGCATTTAACCAGAATCTGCTTTCCTGAAACCTTTCACCCTTATTATGTGTCCTGCCCTCTAAATGATAGAGGAAAAAAACGACCTTCTTACGTGACATCCTGCCAGATACTTTAAAAATGCTACACTATCATATCCCCTAAACTCCTCAATTCTTCTCAAGGATAATCACCCCCAGCTTTTTCAATCTCTTCTCATACAACTTTATTTCCAATCTCCAAATCCTCCTCCTCCTTGTTCCCTGCACCTCTTCCAGTTTCTCAGGACACGCTACTTGTACTGGGGATGTAATTAATGCAGGATCATTAGTTCCTATGATTTGGAGACTATACTTTTGTTGATGTAGCCTAAAATTACATTTGCCTTTTTAGCTGTAATGAACATTGCTGACTCATACTCAGTGTGATCAACTACATGACAAGATTTTTTTCATGCATATTGTTACCAAAGCAGGTATTCCTCATTCTGTGCCTTACATTTTTTTTTATTAAGCAAAGGACCTTACATTTGTCCTTGTTCAATTTCAATCTGTAATTTTCAACCAACTTCTCTAACCTATAAGTACCATTTTTAAAAAGTATTATTGTGTTTGCTTATTTGTATCATGAACAATGGAAGTTGTTTTAGATAGTAATAATTAAAAACACAAATCACCAAGATGGTCTGTTCAATTATTCCCCCCCCCCCAATATAATTGCCTTTCAAGAAAGATGGGAGTTTTTTGCATCCATTTAATTGGCAGGTTCTTGGGCTAAAGAAGGTACTCTCCCTTGCCCTAAAATTTCAATCCATATGTGATTAATTTTCAAAAGCAAATACATCTTTGATTACTGGGAAGTTTAAAGAAAACAAGTAAGTCCTTCCAACTGATCACACAAAACTGGAAAGAGAGTGTACAGGCTGACATTATAGAAACAACAGTCTGATTTCAGTGTGAACTGGTAGGTAGCCTCCATATAACACACCACTTTTTTCAGAACATTTTTATGCTAGGGAAACCTTAAACAAAAAACATTTTCAAGAACCATATTCCTTCTATTTATGAAATGGAACCAGAAAATTAATCAGCATATCCAGGAAGATACTGGTATGTCAGATTAATACACAGACTTGGTCTGGAAGTGAAATACGGCTCTCAGTTCAAATTGGTTTGCTCTTAAGAGTTCAAGTGAGGCAATGGAGGAATTTTTCCTTCAAAGTACTCAACTGAAAATAGGTTAAACTAAGCCAGGGAGAGCCATACCTGAACAATTTCATACACTCTCCCATCAAGCAGGGAGTGAGAGCTAATATAAAATATTATATATCTCATTTCTCTAACATTTCAACTCATATGCAAAGAACTATAGAAACTATTATTCTTCCAGACTGTTTTAAATATATATAAAATGTTTGGACTCACGTGGGCCAAGCAGATAACCAGCACTATTCATAGTCCATCCTCTTTTCTCTTTAGCCTTACAGAAGGAAAAATTGCATGATTAATTTTGTACATATTACCCAATATTTCTTTTAAAACAGAGATACCATCTTGGGAATACAGAAGTACCCACTTAAATGGACTTCATCATGTTTCATTACAATAACTTCTATTTATTTGAAAAAAAATGCAATTAACCACAAGATGTTGGTTTTGTGCTGGAATTTGCATAGGATACTTTTAATTTCAAAAACAAGCTGTATATTATTGGACTAAATCAACTGTATACAAAAATTAATTTTAAAATCCTTTAGGATTTCAGAGAATGCAGAAATAAGTTCCACAGACTTTATAGGAATTAATCAATGATTTTCCTTGGGTAAAAATGCTTAGGAGTTAGAACCCCTGAGTTTTACATCTCAGTAGCAAGGATTTAATCTTAGGTCTGCTCCTGGATTTTGTCAAAAGATTTGCATCCCTTTCATTTCAGTCCCTCTGCTCTTCTTCAACAAATTGCTTGTGCCTCCCCAGCTGGACCTGATCAAATCTTTGCCAGTGTGATTGATTTTTCTCCTGCCTTATCACTGCCAGATGCACTTAAGAGACAGACATCCCCCGGTGAGCCACACTTTCGTAATGATGTCCTCAGCTTGAAAAGGGACCAGGAGGTCAAGTCAGGGCACATGCTGTGGGAGTTCTTGTCATCCGCTGAAAGACATGTGAGCAGTTGAGAGTGGGGTGTGCTTACTTACTTTTTTTCCCCCCTATCCATGCCTGGACAAGTCCCTGCAGTTTTCTTGGCAAGGTTTTTCAGAAGTGGTTTGCCCTTGCCTGCTTCCTAGGGCTGAGAGACTGGCCCAAGGTCACCCAGCTGGCTTTGTGCCTCAGGCGGCACTAGAACTCATGGTCCCCCAGTTTCTAGCCTGATGCCTTAACCACTGCACCAAACTAGCTTACTTACATTGCTTACGGATAAAACCAGCCCAAACGTCTCTGAGAGAGCAGCGCAAAAGATCAAGCAGACAAACAGGAGACCAGGATGCCGCTGCATCTAAAAGGAGACCAAAATCATTTCATTTCCCACCTTCCCCCGTCACTCTTGGCCCCCGGGCCCAAGAAGGTCTGCCTTTCCAGAAACAGACAAAGAAATGTGGAAATTAGTTAGGATTTCTGAGATTTTATGGATCTGTTTTAAAGGAGCCCCTAATCTTAGAAATTAGCACGTGCTCCTAGCCTCCTAAACTTGGGGCGCCCGCGGAAAAAGAAGTGGCAGGGTGAACAAGATGGGGACGGTGAAGGAAGGTACCTTGCCCCGAAGCTGAGGGTAACCTTGCCTGCTGAGGCAGCCTGCTGGGTCGCCCGATCGCAGCTGGCAGGAGCGAGGCCAAGGGGAGGGGTCCCTGGGTCGATCTCTCCTCCGGATCTCTTCAGTCACTGCATGGCTCCGGCGTCAGCCCAGAGACGGACCCTGCGGATGAAGCGCCACGGGGAGCAGGCGGCAGGGAGATCGGAGCGGTCCCAAGCCCGCTTCTCCTCGGCTATTTATGAGCTGCGGTACAACATCATT